TAACAACTTACCATAAACCACAAGATTTATGGTTCACATTTTATAACTGAAGTGTGACGGTCCCCAAATTTTTTGGAGGTGGGTGAGTAAAGTTCATATGTCGCCTTGTACGACGACATATACGGTATACTTCATTTATACGCAACAGAATTGCATTCAGATTAACGTAAATATTCTTAGGAAACGTATTAGTCCATCACTTTTCCACACCAGCGATTGGGTTAAGTAGTAGGGCAGACAGGGTTCGTCAGCTTTGTGTGAGTATAAACTAGTAACTTAATTATGAACAGTTCAACTATTTATAAATTTAGAATCTTGAAAACAAAGTGTCAATTATCTTTTATTTTTAACAAACTTCACTAAATATTCCCTGCAAAAATGTCCCATTTGCCTTTCAACTTTTCTCTACATAAAAGAGAACACCATTAAACAAATACTGATAGCTTCTAATAGTAGTTAATATATTTAAAGAAAAAATAGAATACGTTACAAGTATTCTAAAGAGACATAAGTAGAAAAGAGCAATCGTGATAAAATATAGAAAATAATAATTTGTTGTGGAGTAAATAAAGCACCCCTGGTGACACAAATAATCTAGGCAAGAAGCCTTAAATAAAGAATTAAAAGGGAGTCAAACAGACAAATTCATTAGCTGGGGGCAGAATACGACTCTGTAATGACACTACCTACGGACGGAGACTGGGCTGAAAAGAATAGATAATGCAAAGTGCCTGATCACACGGTTGCGGGGTCTGGGTAAATTTTGACCATTGCCCCGGGTGTACGCGCTCGAGTTCCCCACACTATACTCGACCTTGTTTTACATCTCGTCTCAATGATAAGACCGAGTACATACCAGCCAGTCCGCTGTCTGGCTCGAGATTATCAAGTTCTCTGTCTTCGGCCAGAGTTCAATTTAGTCTACTGACAGAAACTCGACTGAGAAAAATAGACAATGTATAGTGCCCGATCCCGCGGTAACGGGGTTTTGGTTAAAATTTGACCATTGGCCCGAATGTATGCCCCCGTGTTTCCCACACGAAACTCGACCTTGTGCCACATCTCATCTCAATTTGGAAATTGGAAATACCAGTCAGTCGGAGTTAGGCAATCCGCTATCTGACTTGAGACTGTCATTGTTGCAGGGGCGGTCATGTTCCTCACACTAGAATCGACGTTGTGTCATATCTCATCTCAGTGAGAATGACTAAGTAAATACCAGACCGTCATAGTCAGGCAGTCCGCTGTCTGCCTCGGGTCCTAGCTCACTATTGTCAAGTTCTCTCTTTGGACAGAGTACGACTCAGTTGGTGCTCTGTCTACGGATAGAGTCTCAGCTGGTAAAACAGAAAATGCAAAGTGTCTGATCCCACTGTTTGCGCGGTTTCGAGGGTTGAAAACAATTCGACCATTGTCCCGAATGTACAATTCAGCGGTTATAATATGTCTCGCTTAGTCTACTAGCCGGGACGTCATTAGAATACTTTCCAACTGATTCCAACGGACTGTTATTTACCCATTGATACGAGATGTGACACAAGGTCGAGTTTAGGTCGGTGAACCAGAGCACGTGCACTCAGAACTATGGTTAAAATTTGCCCAGAGAGAGAGAGTTCCCCACACTAAACTCGAATTTGTGTCACATATGTTCTTGGTGAGTCTGAGTAAATATTGAGTCGCAATCAAGCTCTCTCTCTCTCTCTCTCTCTCTCTCTCTCTCTCGGGGGGCAGAGTACGATTCAGTCGCGGCTCTGTCTACGAAAGGAGACGCAGCTGGAAAAATAAACAATGCAAAGTGCCCGATCCGGCGGCTGCGGGGTTGGATAAATTTTAACCATAGTTCTGAGTGTATGTGCTCTGGTTCACCAAACTAAACTCGACCTTGTGTCACATCTCGTATCAGTTGGTAAATAACAGTCCGTTGGAATCAATTGGAAAGTATTCTAATGACGTCCCGGCTAGTAGGCTAAGCGAGACATATTATAACCGCTGAATTTCTGATGAATCTTAATTCTTAAGTTAATGGTTGAATACGCTCCTTGCGAGTTTCACGACTATAAATTACTGGTAAAAATTCCCCTATCACATTGTTAAATATTTGCGCAAATCATAAAAATGAATGTTGGTCATTATTTAAAGAAGTTGAATGATACAGATTAACACATTTGAAATTGGCAAAATTTCCATTTCACTGAAACAGACGTTAAATATCCACCTCTATCTTCCCTTTCACTCTTTCTTTCTCTCGAGGATTCGAATGTCTATTTTCAAAGCTGAAAAGTCCTTTCAAATAGAATATTGGCGTAACATAATCTTACTTCTATCACCCTGCTTTTGGTACAAAGTCAAATATAAGTAATACAAACGGAGAAATTAACAAGGTTAATATAATTCATCTGCGAGCATACAGTAAAACTTACTAGTATAAAGGTTTTCGGTGCTATGTTCTTACCACTGAGCTTTTATATGGTAATTATATTGAATATCTACCATAAAAATATGTCTAAACTTGATTCTTTTGTTCTATTAGTTTCACTGAATCACTTCCTGACAGAAACGCGTGTCCATCTTTGAAGGAAATTTTAGCATATTTATCAGTCTGACAATACGCCAGCTCAGAAATCAAAATTCAACCAGCCTTAAGCAATTCCTAAAGCGTTTCAGCTATAAAATATTAATGTAGTTATGCGCATATTGATGAACACAAGTCTCCGTGCCACTATTTGTGAATGTGGGGATGTATTCGTAAGAACTGCTTTGTGGACGAATTAGTTGCGTATTCCAATGATTGGTGTTCTATTCTAGAAAAAAGCCAGAAATTTAAATGGTAATTTTCAAGGTAAGTGGGAAAATCCTCCACGGTATATAGATATCTATGATTATCGTGTGTATATCCAGATACCCTCTCAGATGCAAACAGATGGGTCGGAACGATTATTATTTTTTTGAAGAATAATCAACCCGGGAAATTATTATCCCAACCACTTCTTTTATTCAAATTAAACGATTTGTCCAAAAATGCTCCCAAATTAAGTGGTGGTCGTTGGAATAAGGAGTCCTGGTGATTTTTTCTCCAAAAACGAATAATCGTCTCGACCCGTCTGTTTGCAACTCAAAAGTAGAGAGTTAATATTGATATAGGGTCACAAGTTAATAATTTGTCTCGTTTTAGCCATTCTATTTTTGTTTTAGTGGAAATTCTGTCTGACAAATTCAATACGAAGATAATGAGAGGGATTTGACACTACGGACGTAGCATGGCAGGTTTTAATTGTAAATGGCTGAATTGATGGAAATATACAATGGAGCCGGTCAGATTATCTGCCATAGAAATAACGATAGAGCAGCGTTATGTCTGGGGGGTGTAGGTTGGAAAATAAAACTTCCACCAAAAGGAAGTGATTTTGATATCTCTCAAAGTTGAAGAACGTGGATTTGTCAGATCTACGCCAGATATATCATCAATGTCCTATTTTTCGTCTGATCTGAATGTTGTAAAGACAAAGCCTGCTAAGATTAGTCAGATACTTCCTGAAATGAATCATTTCTATGAGAAGCGTCGCCATAAAATATTCAAGATTGGAAAAACAAAATTGTTATCTCTCAGAATGATGACATCAAGTCATTTATAATATCTCAAGAAAAATACGTTCGATTTTTAATGTATTTGTTTTCAAATAAAAACAGTATAAAGACTTGATAGAATAAAGCTGCAAAGATGACCCCTAATTCATAGGTCAGTGCATATGTAAGAATTGCGCGAAAGTGTTCGTTTATTCATATGGGGGTATAAAAAGTTAAATAAAAAATGTTTCTACTCTTAATCAAATATATATAGAATAGTTATACACACACAAATATATAAATATATATATATATATATATATATATATATATATATATATATATATATATCTCATCAACGGACTAATAAGGAGTAGGGCCGGTCCGTTATAATCAATTGTCCGTAGAGACGGGATTACTTTTGAGTTATAAAACCATTATAGTAATTACTAGTAGTTATGATTGTATTGTAAATTCTATAATCATGCATATATGGCATAAATAAATATATACTTAATCGATATATTAATCAAAATAACAAAAATAATATATTTCTCATAGCTACTTTCTCACGCACGCGCTAATATATCGTACTTTTCGTATTTGTTTACAACTGAAAGGCGCGATACCACCACCAAGTGGTCACTTTGAGAACTAACACGAATCGTTCCGCTAAGCTTGCAAATTTTGAAATACGTCTTTGACGATTTGGAAGATTTTTGCCTTCAGATTTTTTTTATTTTGCCTGCAATTTTTTATTTTAACTCTCTCTCTCTCTCTCTTTCTCTCTCTCTCTCTCTCTCTCTCTCTATATATATATATATATATATATATATATATATATATATATATATATATATATATATATATAAGAAAGAGTGCTCAGTATCACAAATAGAGGGTTTGTAGATATAAACAATGTAAACATAGAAATCAGCACTAGCTGTATATATAATGTGCGGGTGGTGTTAACGGTAGTAGCTCGGAACGAAACATCGGAAAGTCGAGTTTGAATTCCAGTCGAACTTGTGGTGAAAACGTTCTCTGTCTAATAATGTTATTAGGCTCAGTATTTTGTCTATTACGATCATTCGGCCGTATTGGACTTCTTTTTTTTTCCTCTGACATTAAAAAGGCAAAACGCGACTATTAAAATAGTAATCAATAACGCTAGTTTCTACTATTGCTAACAAAACCCAAGTAGTAGTGACCCAGTCAAATATTTCAAACTGCACACAAACCACCCAGAAACGTTTTGTTGATCATGATGCATCTGTTTCTATCTTTTCTACATCTCCAATGTGTCATCCGACAGAAAATTAGCCAAAATTTGAACGCAAGTTTAACGTGTTGCTATCGGCGTCTAATCAGATGGTCATTACTTACACTCAATGAATGAACGACAGTATATTGCAAGTCGTAAACAACTACAAAGATTATTTCCGTAGTTGCTGAATGTAATGCTGAGCGTGCATTGACGACAAAATAAGAAGGTAATAAAGAGAAACGGGAAAAATTATTGGCGAAAGAAAAGAAAGAATAGAAGAAAAAGACAAATATAAAAAGGAGCGAATGGAACGAAGTGGAAATGTTTGGTTAGGAGGCAATGAAGAGAACTCAGGTGCAAATGAGCTAAAAGAAATATATATTGGAGAGAAAGAAGAAGAAACTGAAGTGAAAATAGGAAAAGCTTTAGTAGGGAGGAAAAGACAGATATTAAGGACTGAGTGTGAAGGAAGAGCCAGAACAGAGTTGAAATGAGAAATTGTTTCCAGGAAAATCGATAATATCTGGCCTGGGCCAGAATGAAACCTAGCTTTTACTCACGTGATATGCAGCTAAGTTGAATTCTACCGCTTATAGTGTAATGAAGTCAGTCGGGGTGGCTCGCCGTCAAGTCAGTGCCCTGCCTATTTTTGACAGTCGGCGCGTCACTCACTCACATTGGAGTATATCTGTCTATCAGCGGATATATATTATCCAATTATACCTGTCGTTACATTCCATTCTGTGAGACGACACGCATAGAAACACACATGACAAGCACTTCGTAAATCCACACATACTAAACAAACAACAGACGCACTCAAATACAAGTATCATATGTTACGCACACACACGCATAGCAGGGACTCGCCGAAAGTAATGCCTCCTATTTACACGTAAGCCACAGGATGTGCGGGTGGTTTAATAGATAGTTGCTCGGAATAAGAACTCGGAGAGCTGAGTTCAAATTCCAGTCGCGTTCGTTACATTCACTTATGTGGAAATACCTTTGGTATGAATCAATCTTTCTCCACCCAGTCACGATTTAAATAGTAGTATTTGTGTTTGGAAAAATTATTATTGTTCTCAAAAAATTAACAAATCATTATTTACACTCAAATGAATTATTCTTGTAGTCCAATATATGTTTCAGCTTTAAATAATCCGCAAATCGTTGATAAGCCATTAAAAGGATCAGGGAATCAACGTAAACTGAAACAAAAATAGGAAGCACAAGTATATCATTAAATATACAACGTTTTCAGCAACGAAACATTATTTTCCCAAATAGTCACCACAACTAACTATGCATCTTAGTCTTAGAAGTAATACCTCCTATTTATCTCCACAGAAACTAAAATATATATAAGGAGTACACTAATACTGTTGAATAAAGCAGGTTTCAACGTCAAAACAGTTTTCCTAAATAATCACTACCATTGCTTATGTATTTTCAAGGCGTTTTTTTCGTGGTTTGACAGCTGTGTAGAGCCGGTCGGAACGTGGCTTGTCATATACATCACAGTCACCCTTGTGGAAACACATTACCCACCACTTAACCAATTATTTGGGGTCGGTAAACGTCCGCCAAGTGTCAATGAATGTCAATAAATGCATTTTTTTCCACCTGGAGGTATTCAATGATACGCTTCTAGTTTATACTAACTTTCATGTCAGGCGCCATTTTACCAGCCAAGTTAAAAAAAAAATTATAGACAGAAATGTTCAACCTTTACTATACCAGCATCTTTCTCTGACGTCGTTGCCCAATATAATAAAAGAGAAGGCATTAATTTCGGAGCGACTCTCATAGTTGAATTGCAATAATAAAAAAGATGTTTGTTATTGAAGCAGCCTTCAGTGATTGGTTACCAAGCACATAACATTGGTCACCGTAAACATGGCAGATTAATGTTTTTATGTTTTTTTCGTCTGAGAGATGAACTAACCGTTCATCGACAATATCTTCTCACTCCATTGACTTCTTCGTTTCTCTGACAACCAATGTTGATGTGTCTACATATGAAATTGCCACGTGAAATTTTGCGTTTCACAAAACATGCCCAAAATACCGACACATCGACACGGTAATGCTCGTAAACTAGAGGGATAACTGTTGTAGTTTCAAGCCAGAATTTTGTTTGTCATCAGCATGTAACATATAAGTAAGAACGTCTCTGGTGGAATATTTGGAGATTCTCGCTCTGCCCAATAGTAGAATAGTGATGATAAAATTTGCTAAGTAAACGAAACGGTTGCTGGCGCTGCTAATGAAAAACGTCTTCAATAATTTTAAAACTTTATTTTAACATTTGGATGATGTTAAAAAAAGTTACATTTGGATGAAGTTAAAATGTTACGGTGAGGTCAATAATGGTGTTGCCATAAAAAAATGATTTTTTTTTTATTTGTTTTATTTTATTTATTTATTTTTAATGTGTATCTGATTTCTATTTCAAGTATAAAATAAAATAGGTAAGTGACTGTTTTGACGCTTATCTGTCTACTGTTTTGATACTAGATTTATTATCATTGGTAATTCTTTTATGTGACATATCCCTTCAGGTTATGAATGATTACGGCTCTTCATAACTTCATATCCTTTGTAGCTCTTAGCAATATATATATATATTTTTTACCATCTCCCACTCCCTATTTTGTACCCATTTTACCCATTTTCATGTCCCTCCAGAATTTCAAGCATTCTTTCCTCCTTCTATGCCGTAGAAATGTCAACTCTCTCTTTTTAAATCTAAGCGTCCTTTTTGCTCCCATTTTCCTTAGAATTTCCTCGTTGATGACATGTTCTGACCATGGAATTCTCAGCATCCTTCTGTAGAACCATATTTTTTGCCACATTTCTCCTCTTTATTAGTGAGGAAATAAAAGGATTTGTATTACACCGCAAAACTCAAAATTTTCTTTTGTTTGAAAATTACCAAATATATTTTCACTTTTTCTTAATACTAACTGAAAGTAAACAAAAAACTTTTTATATTTCTATTTATTTAGCCGTTATCAAGAAATTATTTCAAATATAAAATAAAACTGCTTTTTATATAATTTTTAAATAAATATTCACCCAAATTTTCTATATCTATGTTTGTATGCGTAACAAAGTATAATTAAATAGTGATAATTATTACTATTGTATACTATTATAATTAGCATTAATTATTAAATTACTACTACTATAATTATTCTATTTTTTCTTACATTATATTAGATGTTCAATGTGCGAAATAAAACTATGCAGATTCTTTATATAAACAGCCATGAAAATAGTGATAATATTTAAAACAATATGTGTGACATAAGTTTTTCTAGTGATTACGCCACTTGTGAAATTACAATTTATTCTGACACAGTTCATCTTTGAGAAAACAGTAAAATTTACACCAATTCAGTTTTGCGTTAGTCATCAAAATAAAACAAGAACATCGTGAAGGCTAACAATACTTCAAAATTATTGCTTCTGTCTAATTTAATTAGTGATCAACAATGATGAATGGCGTCTGTCTTTCTCTCAACAAAATTTACTATTTCCCTCCTTTTGAGTGAAAGTCGTTAAATGTTCATTTCTATTGTCCGTGGAATTTGATGAGATTATTCGGAACCAAAGAGGCAACAATGACAATACAAACTAGATCTTTCTCCGTTCTTCTTTCTGAAAATCTATAAGAAAAGCATCATGAAAAACGAAGGCAATCAAAGAGCAGTCTACAATAAACCAAGACAGGGTTTTATAAGAAAACCAAAATGACTTATCTCATCCGAAAATCGAAAATTAACTTCACTCTATCAATGCTAACTCAAAACCAAATTATTATAAGTCTGTTTCATTTAAACAAATTGTAAGTGAATCTTGCTAATTCGAAACACAGGTTCTAAACTTGTTAATTAGCATAATGTATAAACCGTCTTCTTGTATAATGCAACCTCTATTTTTTTTGCATGAATTTTAACCCATCCAGAAAAATATCAATTATGTATAATGCGACCAGTCACCGAAAATGCATGATTTTAATCTCTTCAAAAAATAACCTGTGTATAGTGTAACTTCTTGTATTTTGCGTAAAAATTCTTAGCATAAAAACTCGCACTATACTCCACTATGTAGGGTAATCATTTCCCAATATTTATATTGAACAACAGTCGCTCTAGTAATATAGACCTTTCAGACTAAATCCCTCAAATAAAGCAAAACTTGATAGAACTCAAGATTTTAAACATTATAAGTATATCTACAACAAATTATTTTGCCTGCTCTAATCTAATTTTTTTTGTAATCGGTCACAGCCAATCTAAGATCACGTAAAGTTCAGATAATGATGCAAAAGAAAATGGCTTACAGTCACATCACGTTAAAACACCTGTTCCCGTAGGTTACCGAAGTCAAGTAACGTTAGGCGTGGTCAGTACCTAAGTCGGTGACTCCTTGGGAATACCAGGTACAGTAAGCTGCGAGTGGTGTAATGGATAATGGCTCGGAATTGTTAACCGGAAAGCCGATTTCCAATTGCCGTTGTGTTAGTTATATTCACTAACGCACAAATAGCTATAAGAAAGGTATGAAATCTCCTCTTTTCCCTCAATCTATGGGTTAATTATTATGTCTTGTATCACTAAACCATTATTATCTCAAAAACTTCTATCTAAAAATTATTTCATGGCTTTAAATAACCTGCAAAGGATTGATAAACCTTGAAAAACGAATCAATCAATCAATCAAAATTAAAGCTCTTTATAATTATAATGATCATAAGAAATTGATTTCAATAAAATAAAATAATTTTAATAAAAATAACAGAAATAAAATGAAATATATATTATTAGAGAAAAATAGTAACATGACAGTGATTCATCTAAAAATATTTTAGTAATATTGCTGTTATGAAGTGTGATTTCCTTTGTATTTTATCAATTCAACGATCGTCGCTTATCTCGCAAACGGTGCGCTTAAATTTTCAGTGTTCCCACGTCGCTACCGAATCAGTTTAAAGTCGGTTTAATGGCAATACCGCAGAAAAATTCTTAAGTTCCCTCGGCACTTCCCCATTTTTGGGTTTCCTCAGGTACCAAGTATTAATCGCAAGACCCTCACGGAGTAAGTAAGGCCTTAGCTATGCTAATTTTTGCAATCATTTGCATATCACTGAAATTACTAAGAAAAAAGTGTACAAAAATTCATTTCTTGTAAAAGCCGGCGAAGAAATATCGTTTAATGACAAAGATTTGGTTTGTTTTGTTTAGCAGCATATTAGCCTGTATGTGTTATTTAATGCCGAAATCTAAATATTTGGCACATATTTTTTTATGTTTGGATATAATAATGATTTATTGATGCAAGCCTTAATAATTAACCCATAGCTGGGAGGAGAAGAGGTGGATTCTTACCTTTCCCAAGAGTATTTGCGTATAAGGGAATATAACGAAGCCAAGGGGAATCTGAACTCG